AGCCCGAGGCCCGCTGGCAGGCGCAGGGGTGGAGCGGGGCCCCCACGCCATGGAAGGAGCTGTGGTGCACGCTGAGCCACCAGGCGTGTCCCATGTGGGTCTCCTCGCGTGAGCCCGCGGGAAAGGAGGCCGGGTTCACGGTGCCGGCCGTGGAGCGGTGCTGCTGGGGCAGGGGCGAGGGGAGGCTCCCAGACTCGACCGCGGCAGTGGCTTTCCGGGCCGTCCCGCCGCACAGCAGTGAGCGCGTCTGAGCTGTCGTGAGTTGTACCTCGATAAGGTTGACTTTAACGTCAGATTCTCCTACCTCGCGCCCTAGTGATGGAAAGGACAAAAGCGTGGCGGCTGAGGTGCCCATCTCTGAGCTGGCCCACGTGGCCCGAATCCGAGATGGTGGGGGTGCGGGCAGAGCCGGGTCTGCTGGAGCGGTGGGGTGCAGGGAGCCTGCCACGGGCCGGGCTCGGTGCCGGAGGACGGACAGCAACGCCAGGTCTGGCCAAAGCCATTGCCTCCAGGGCAAGGAAGAAGTGTGTGGTCAGGCCCGGCCGGTGTGTCTGAGACTGCTTTACCGAAGGGCCCCTGCCCGTGGGAGGAGCGTGGACCCGGCCTGACTGCCTGCTCCGGAATTGGGTCCTGCTCCTTCTCTCGCTGTGACCCTGAGCCAGGCACTGAGCCTGCCTGTGCTTCTGTCTGCCCAGAGGGGGGTTTGCAGTGACGCCTAGGAGGCGGTAAGACGCTTCTCAGGGTGGGCACTTCAGACACAATGGGCTGGGTGGGTCGGGATTGCTCGTGGGGCCGCGGGCATCCGAAGGTCTGGCTGGAGCCGGACAGTCAGCCTCCGCGTCCAGAGCCTGCCGCTCACGTGTCCTCCTGGCAGGGCGGCCAGGTCCCCCAGAGCCAGCTACGTAAGGACCGGGGGCCGGGCAGAGTTGGGCTTTTATGACTCGGCCTTAAAAGTCACTGCACTTTATTTCTGGCCCAGTTGGTTTATTCTCTGGGGGTGGCCGGTTCCCGTGTGCCCGCGGGTGTGCTCAGCTTGTAAAGTGACGCAGGGCCTGGCCTGGAGGGTCGGGGAGCCCGGTGTGTGGCCCAGAGCCCCCTCCGCGCCCCACCCCCAAAGAGGGCGCGGGCGCCTTTCCCACGGACCAGGTCTGCGGGTGCACCGGCCGCGGACAGCCCTGAGTTTGGGTCACGACTTCCTGCTTGGTTCTCTGCCCACAAGGGGGTCACGGGGCAGCTCACGGGACAGGTTCAACCAAGAAATGTGAGCTTCTGTCTTCACCGTTGAAAATAAGAAATGCATGTGAAAAGGGGACAAAAACTGGTCAGGTTCCTGGGTGAGTCACCGCCTTTGTGTTAGAGCCAAAACAAAGGCTTTTAGCTTAAAAAGTACACCGCTGTTTGGGAATTAGGAGGCATTAGTTACGGTATCGTTCGTGTGCAGTTCGTGTGCAGTTTGACGACGGTAAATGCGTGGTAAAAAGTCTAAAATAAAAACTCTCTGTCATGCAGTTTCCTAGAGGGAATCACTGGTAATGCTCGGGGACGTTGGTTCTAGTCTTTTCTGCCTCTCTTGTGTGCCCGGGGGTGTCCGCGTGTGGGCCTGTCGGGTGCGGGGTGGGGTCGTGGGGTGCGGCCCCCGTGAGCTGCCGGGGGTCGGGCCCCAGGTCGGGGCCGTGCCGTGAGCACCGCGGATCCGTCCCCGGGGCCTGCGGCCGCCGGGGCCCCGGCACCCTCCTGACCGCTGCCCCCTGTCCTTTGCAGGACGGCCGTTCTCGCTGAAGGACCCTGCACTCGCTACTGAGCGGCGACCATGGGCCCGCTCGCCTACCTGAAGACGCAGTTCGCGGTGCACCTCCTCATCGGGTTCGTGTTCGTGGTGAGCGGGCTGCTCATCAACTCCGTCCAGCTGTGCACGCTGGTCCTCTGGCCCCTGAGCAAGCAGCTATACCGCCGGCTGAACTGCCGTCTCGCCTACTCCCTGTGGAGCCGTGAGTGTGGCCCGCGCCGCACGGCTGGGGGGGGGGTGACGGTGGGGGGGGGGTTCTTTCTGCCGGATGAACCCCACACACGCCGCTCCGTAACGGGCAGGGGCCCCCGGGGGTGGCGAAGGCTTCCGATGACGTGACCGGGAGGCGGGGGCCTGGCTGGCGACCCCCGGGCTGGGAATTGGGGGGTGGGGGGGTGCTCCAGGGTGCTCAGGGCTGGCTCCTGGCCAGGACACGAGCAGAAAGACGCTCCCCCCCCCCCCCGACTCTTGGTCTGGCTGACCCAAGTGACGTTGCCGCACTTGACCGCTCGGACCCGCAGAGACCAGTTTCCTGAGGTTTAACGTGGGGTTTTGGATATTTGAGAACAAATGCAACTCAGCTCAGCACCCCCCAGCCCCGTCCCTGCCAGCACACGGGACGGCGTCGGCTCCCGTGTGCTCCGCCAGCCCGTCACCAGAGCGTCCCTCGGGTGGCCTGTCCTCTGGTACCTCTGGTACCTATCTGAGCATCTCTCTGTGGAAGAGAAGGGCTCCTGCCTGCGTCCTGGTTAAACAGACGCGCGTGGACGTGTGTGTCTGAGGCCTGTATGCACGTGTGCGTGTTCAGACCTCGACGACAAAGCCCACCGTTGACAGGGGTGAACGCCACACGGGGGCCTGGGGTGGGGGGGAGCCGGGCACGTGTCAGGAGGGCAGCTCGCCAGCGGGCGTCCACAGCTCGAACAGCGGCAACTTCTGACGATTAATCCGCAAAATAAGGAGATATCTGCAGAAGTACATATGTACAGACATTCTCGTCTTGTCATTTCTATATTAGCATAAAAGTGGCGGCAGCCGCAGTGCCCATGAGTGGAGGCCGGCTACGGTGAGTCCGCCTGACACAGCCGTTACCGACCGGGGACCGTCTCTCGACTTGATAGAGAACCATCTTCAATGTCCTTTTTTCCTAAAGTCTACTCGTTTATTTTGAGAGAGAGAGAGAGAGAGAGAGAGAGAGAGAGAGAACATGTGCAAGGGGAGTGGTAGGCGGGGAGAGAGAGACAGAATCCCAAGCCGGCTCCACACCGTCAGTGCGGAGCCCGACGCGGGGCTCGAACTCATGAACTGTGAGATCGTGACCTGAGCCGACACCAAGAGTCAGACGTTCGACCGACGGAGCCACCCTGGCGCTGCTTAAGACACACTTTTAGGCGCAAAGGGAAGGTCTCCCGCAAAGTACGTGGCGTGCTGGTTTTTTTGAACACCGCGTGTATGAGGTGTGTGCACGTCTACACGGCCGTTCGTGCCCAGAGGGTCTCAAGGGGTCAACGGGAGACTGAGTGTCAGGGAGTGCAGGGAGGAGGGCCTTCTACTTTTTTCCTTTTTTGTTTTACTTATTTGCTGTTTATTTTGCCTTTTATTTTTTTTATGGTTCACGTTTATTTATTTACACGTCTGCCTTTGTGCTGTTTCCATTTCTTCGCGGAAGACCATGTTTCTTTCCCACTAAAGAGAGAGTAATAGCCACCGTGTGCCTGCTGTGTGGGGAATGGTGGGTCTCCATTCGCCTCCGGGTTCCGGGGCAGAGAAGGGAGCCCCGTCGAGGAGGCCGCGACCTCCCGCTGCCTCTGCCGAGGCCAGCACACCGGCCTGGGGCTTATCTCTTGCCTTACACACGTAACAGCTTCAGTGCCCAGGGTTTGGTTTCTTTTCTGGATGAGACACGATTTGTGCGTGGGGGTGGGGTGGGGGGAGAACCGGAATTCCTCTGATGTGAAGAATACAATGAGTTGTTAACAAGCGTAAGACGTGATATGAGCACACACCCAAAGGGCAAATGCTAATCGATAAAAACAAAATTGTAGACTCCGCCTCCAGCAGGATCCTGAGGAGCTCAGTCCCGGAGAAAGCCGGCTGGGTTCACCGGAAGTAAGGGAACCTCTCAGCCCCGCCCCATCCACGCAGCAGAAAGCGGGGTGCTCACTGAATCTCGAGGTTGCCTTCCAGGGGCCCCAGCTGGGCCCGCTGCAGGGGAGGGGGGACGCTGGGTCTAAACCAGGACCCGGCCGTGGCCGGCGGGGAGCAGGTTCGCGGCACCTCTTGGGATCAGTAGCTCCGAGTTAGGCCTGAGGAATCTGTCAAGACAGGTAAGATGGGAATTCGAGGTCCGAGGAGAACAAAAGACTGACAGACAGCGACAGGTGCGACAAAGAATCAAATAGAACTTCTATAAATAAAAACCGTAATTGTAGTTTTTAAAGTGAACGCTTAGAAGACGCGTGTTCCTTCACGTTGGACCCTGCTCACGAGGGAACGGGCACGCGGGGCGCACACGTGCGGCGGAGCCCCGCCAGGGAAGTGTGACACGGGAGCGACGAGAAGGAAGGGGGGACGCGCGGGTCTGTGGGGGGACACGGGGAGGCAGCGCCGGGGGCGGTGATGGCCGAGGACGCCCCCGGATGGACGGAGACGTGGTTCTGTGGCTCTAGGGGGACAGCGCGTGCCCAGCAGGGAAATAAACAGAATCCACACGTGGGCCTGCCCCAGGGAAGTCACAGCCCACGGAGACAAAGGGCAGGCTGTACAAATACCCAGACAGGAAGGCCGGGCACCTGCCGGCTGGACAGATGGGCCTGGTCTCGGCCCAGCGGGGTCGAGTCAGGGGCTGGGAGGCCTTGACCCCGAGGGCGCCTCACCACCCTGGCCCAGCTGCCTGCACGAGTCAGGAACAGCCGGAGGCCAACGCACAGTGGCGGCCCTCACAGCCCACGGACAAGCAAGCACCTGAAAACTCTCTCTGGTGAGAATAATAAAGCTGACAGCACAACAGGGGCTGAGCTGCAAGAAAGACGTCAGAGAAAACGTCAAGCAGGTACCTCTGAACGATCCTATTACATCGTGATGCCCGGTTTGTGAGGCTGAAACGGGTCCGGGTGGGGATGTGGGGGGGCGCAGTGTTCCGGTCCCCCACCCCCACCAGCCCTCCATTCTCATATTTGCCAGGAAGAGAGCGGCCATGTCACCATTGGACTTGGCTAAGGGAAGGCAGGGTGGGAAACAGACATCAGACCAACCTCAGAACTATTAGAACAAGGTGGATTAAACAAGCAACGACAAATCCTTTTTTGCAAAACAAAGTAGCGGAAAGCGTGGCGAGGAGAAAACGTGCTGGAGGGGTGAAGCGGGCTGGGTGGGGCCCCTCACCCCCGCCCCCCCCCCCAGCAGCCCGGCCTTCTGCTGCTGGGTGCCAGGCCATGGGAGCCCCCAGGGCACCTGCTGAATTTGGGGGTGTTCTCCACGTTACCCTGAAATACAGGGGCAAGTCCTCCTCATGTTAGGGCCGCGCAGGAGGCTCCTCTACGTTCCGGGGGCGCACGGTGAGCCCTGGAATCTCAGTGCCCGCGAACCTGCCTTCTGTTCAACTGGATGTGTGGTCCTGTCCCCGCCCCGTCAGGCCTGGCGCCCTCCCGCTGACCTCCGCGTTCCCAGCATGACTGTCGTCTGGCCACAGAGCTTAGGGGCACATGCGTGGAGCCGCATGGCCTGTTCCGGGCCGACCCGGCCGAGACTGAAGCTTCCCGGCTGCAAAGGAGGAAACCGCCAGCCTCACAGCAGAAGCTGATGCAGGGAGCACGCGCGCAGCGACGTTCCTTGCGGGGCTGGGTAAGCAGGGAACGCTCGCTCGCCGTGGAAGGGCAAGCATGTACCTGAACGGAGGGAATCGCAAAAAGATAAGTGAGGGCTCAGGAGCCAACCAGCGGAACTGCTAATTCCAGATGCTCCCCAGCTCGGCCGGGACCACAGGCAGGGACCCTCCGCCCACCGACGGCTGGCAGGAAAGAGCGGCTTTCCATCAGGCGACCCTCTGAAAGGACCGATCTCCAGGACAGCGACGGGGCAGCCGGTGTCCGTCCGTCTGGTCACTCCCGGGTCAGACCTCTCCCTCCATCAGAAAGGCGGAGGTCCCCAGTGCTGGCCACGGCGAGGGGCTGCGTTAGGAGGGGGAAGCCTGCCTGCCAGCGCACATCTGCTTGTGGGACACCACCCGTGTCCTTGCGCGCAAACGCGGGTGCCACGTGCCCAGCCACCCCCCACAGGGCTCTTCTGTGCATCCGGGCTGCTGCCCTGTGCTTCCCCTCGGCGGTCGTGGGGACCCGGAGAAGCCTTACGTGCAGTGGTGATGTGCTCGCGTCCCTCCGTTCTGATGTAGCGCTCCTGCATTTGTGGCCGCCTTGAGATCCAACGCATGGCGGGACGCGGTCATCCTCTGCCTGCCTGCAGAGTGCGGCCGGGTCGGGCCTCAGTGTCCTCACTGCTGTCACCGGCCAGCACGAAGGGCCGGTGGCTGTTCTGAGCCCGCGCCGTGGTTTCCAACGGTGTGCTGTCCAGGCCCATCCTGGGAAGTGGTCGTGGCCACAAGGGGCGTGTAGACATCATTGTAAGTGCCAGTGTGAGCAAGGCACATGTTGTCAAGCCTAAGCGAAGACACAGCCTTGAAAAAGATCCTTTTTAGAAAACTCCGCGTCTTGCGTCAGTCTTAGATGAGCACTGTCTCGCTCTGTTCCGGATGCCTCCGTGAAACGCAGCAATGGCCGGGAAAGCCGGCATTCGCGGGACGTTGACCGCGTGGCGGACCCCACAGCTGGCGCACTGCCCTCGCTGCCCTTGGCGTTTCTGAGTCTGGAGGTCGAGGCATCAGTGGCCCCTCTCACGCTGATGATGAGGAAGCGTTGCAGAGTCTGCCCGCGCTCCCGGCGGCGTCGTCCACGGGAGCCGACAGTGGGACACCTTCAGTGTCCATCGATGGATAAGCGGATGGAGCAAATGTGGTCCGCGTACAGTGGAAAACAGAGGAGGAACTCCTGCCACGTGTGACCACACGGAGGCAAGTGCCGGACCTCGTGCTGAGCGAAATAAGCCGGCCACAGAAGAAGCACCGCCCGGCTCCGCTCATATGAGGGACCCAAGGTCGGCAAACCCTACAGGCGCACAGGGGCGTAGACTCTTGTCGTGCGAGGTGAGAAGGTCCGAGAGGTCCGTGGCCACCAGCACCGTGCCCACGCGTAACGATGCTGGCTTGTGCGCTGAAGGTCTGTTAAGAGGACAGACCCCAAGTCTTCTTACTAGAGTAATAGGAAACCGCTTCCTGGTGCCCTAGCCGATCGCTTTCGGAGCCACGGTCTCATCCACGGTCTCTCGTGGACCAGCGTGCACCTGGAACTTTGCCCAGGCCCTGCCGGACTGCTGCCATCGGCTAAATGACAATCGGCCGGAGAGGGAGGGGCAGGAGCAAGGCTCGTCACCTGGTGTGGGCGTCTGTGGGGTGCGGCTCTCCGGGGGTGGGGGGGCCAGGGGAGCCCGGTCCACAGGGGATGTGCTTCCAGATGCACAAGTGGCCTTGTGGCCTCCCTTCTTTCTTTCCTTTTCTTGTCAACAGCTTTACTGAGATAAAATTCACCCACTTAAAGTATACCGACCAGCGGTTTTGGGGTTCAGCCCAGAAAGGAACCCCGACCCACCAACGGCCACTCCCCTTGTCGCTGCGGTCAGTGCGCTACTTTCTGTCCATGGATTTGCGCATTCTGGGCATTCCTGCAGCAGGTGGTCCTTGAAGACAGACTCACACTGAGCGCGATGTTTTCAAGACCCGTCCACAGTGCAGCTGGATGACATTACCTGGTGCGGACAGACATCGTGTCCCATCCGTCCAGCAGTCTGGGCGCTCGCGTTGTTTCTGCCTTCTGGCTGTCACGAACAGTGCGGCTGTGGGCGTGCGTGCACAGGCTTTTGCGTGGACATCTGCGTTCGTGTCCCCCGGGCAGATCCCCCGGGTGGGGTCGTTGGGTCTTCCCACCTGTCTGTTCCGAGATCGCGCCCAGTACTGTTCCAACCACGGCAGCTGCACCGTTTTGCGTCCCCACCGGCGCCGTGCGGGGCTCCAGTGTCTCCTGCCCTCGCCTACACTTGCCCCCGTCTCTGTGTGACCGTGGCCGTCCTGATGAGCGGGAAGGGATGTCTCACTGTGGCCCGGGTGTGCGTTTTCCTGATGACTGACGATCCTGAGAGTCTCCTTGTGTGCTTGTTGGTCACTTGTGAATAACCTTTGGAGAAGTGTGTGTTCGTTCCACGCCCCTGCCTTTCTCCAGTGCAGTCTAATGTGGGACAGACGTGGTCACGACTGGTGGGTTCCCGGGTGCTGAGTCAGCCTCTGACAGGTGGCCTCTTCTGTTGACCCCGCCTTGGGTGGCAGGGACTTCGGCTGGTGAGTTCAGGTTATCATCCGAGGGGCATACTTCTCATCCAGCTCCCATCACGGAGGAAGGTGAGACCCCAGAGGCTGCACGATCGGGAGCGTGCGGGGGGCAGAACTTTTGAAGCCCCCACTTTAGGCCGGGCTGACGGGGACGCCCATCAGAAGGAGAAACCGGCCTCGGTTCTCTGCTTCTTGGGTGTTAACGTCACAAGCTGTAGCCCGTTGAGTCCTCCAGAGGCCCCTGTGAGGAAGCTACTGTTTTCTCCTGTCTGTAAACGGGGACACTGAGGCCTGGGAAGTCAGGCTTGGCGCCCAGTCTCCAGGCCCTGCCCTCCATCCTCAAGGGACGGTCCCCTCAGAAGACGGATGGGCTGGTACTGAGAAAGAACGGGGCTGCCCCGTGGAGACCCTGAGCCCGCAAGTCGGGCTTCCTGGTCTGTGAGGTCACCTTTTTGGGGACGCCTGGCCCCGTCGGTGGGCCCACGCTGGCTGGCAGTGGCTCAGCACAGCCACCCTGCTGACCACAGCAGTCTGGCAGCTGACTGTGCGCGCGCGCCCGCCCCTCTCCCCTCCCAGTCGGCGGCTCCAATGTGACAGTTCCTCAAATCACAGCACGTGTGAGAATCACAACTGGACACGAAGACATTCCTCCGAAATTACTGGCTCCCTCTACTTCCGCTTTCTGGTTTGTCTTCTACCTGACTTACGTTTAAATTTTTTTAACGTTTGCTTATTTCTGAAAGAGAGAGAGAGAGACAGAGCGTGAGCAGGGGAGGGGCAGAGAGAGAGGGAGACACGGAATCGGAGGCAGGCTCCAGGCTCCGAGCTGTCGGCACAGAGCCCGACGCGGGGCTCGAACTCACAGACCGTGAGATCGTGACCTGAGCCAAAGTCAGACGCTTAACCGATGAGCCACGCAGGCGCCCCCACCTGACTTTTGTTTAGAAAAGGTAATTATAATTTTGGAAAATCTAACTTATGAAACATAAACCGTCAAGACTCATTTCCAGCAGGAAATCCCGCTCTGGATGGACATTCTGTAAACGCCCCCTGGAGCACAGGCTCGGCCTGTGCCCGCCCACAGTGGGGGCCCGGGTCCGAGCGCAGCCCCCTACCCGCTCACGCCGCTCCCGTGTGTCCGCAGAGTTGGTCATGCTTCTGGAGTGGTGGTCCTGCACGGAGTGCACGCTCTTCACTGACCAGGCCACGGTGGACCGTTTCGGCAAGGAGCACGTGGTCGTCATCCTCAACCACAACTTCGAAATCGACTTCCTCTGTGGGTGGACC